AGCTGCTGGGGCAGAACGAGGTGGAGCAGCGGCAGCGGAAGGTGCTGATCCTGAGCCAGGACAGCTTCTACAAGGTGCTGACGGCCGAGCAGCAGGCCAAGGCGCTCAAGGGGCAGTACAACTTCGACCACCCGGGTGAGCCCCGCGCCGTTGACCCCGGAGCAGGGTGTGCTTGGAGCACGGCAAGGGCCTGTCGGAAATGGGAAGTGCTGGAGAGCAGAAATGCTCTCTCCCCCCCACCACCCACCAAAACATCCGTTCGTCCTTCCCTCGTGCCCGTTGTTACTGACGGCTGGCACTGCCCTCCTGCAGCCATGGAGAGCTGCGGAGCATCCCGGCCTGCTCCCGGCTCCGGAGAGGCTCTGTAATGCACCACATCATTCCCCAAATCCTTTCCTTATGCTTCTTGTCTGCACAAACAGCTGCTCCCCTGGCCCGGGGGAGGATTGCAGGCGGGACAGGGATCTGCCCTTGGCTGCAGTCTGGTGCTGCTGTGGGTGCACAGGGGCGGGTACTGGAAACCATTAAGAATGCCTGAGGTTTTCCAACTGGCTCTTGACTAACAGAGTTGCACGAAACTATACAATTACCGAGTGGTTTGGTGAAACCAACTTCACCTTTGGGATCTTAATTTTATTGTGTTGTAGTTGATTATAAACAGCAAATTGCCTCTTCCCTATCTTTATAACCAAGCACAGCAGTTGTCGCTCAGGCAGGGAATGTCGGCTGCTGGTAGGAAAGAATAAGCCATAAGTTCTTTTTTTCCTGGTGAAACACGGGGCAAAGAGATTTTCCTTTGGGTCTGGAAAAATCTGGGCAGAACATTTGATGCAGCAGCATCTGACACTCCTCCTCTTTGAATCTTCCTCTCACAGATGCTTTTGATAACGATTTGATGCATTCAACCCTGAAAAATATTGTTGAGGGCAAAACAGTTGAGGTACCAACGTACGACTTCGTGACACATTCTCGGTAGGTTCTGGTTTTGTGTCAAGCCTCAGGTGGTGTCTGTGGGTGTCCCAGCCTGGGGATGGGTCTCTCGGTGCTGATGTGACACCCATTTAACAGTGTGCTGTGGGTGTTTTCTCCTGGCAGGCTGGCAGAGACGACGGTGGTCTACCCTGCTGACGTCGTCCTCTTTGAGGGGATCCTGGTTTTCTACAATCAGGACATTCGGGACATGTTCCACCTCCGCCTCTTTGTGGACACGGACTCGGATGTGCGGCTGTCCCGCCGAGGTAACGGCTCCACCGGCACGGGCAGCGCCAGCTCGTGCTCCTTATCCACCCTCGGCCATGTGGCAACACTCAGGGGTTTTATCTCCCCATCCCAGTTCTGCGAGATATGAAACGTGGGAGGGACCTTGAGCAGATCCTCACCCAGTACACCACCTTTGTCAAGCCTGCCTTTGAGGAGTTCTGCTTACCGGTAGGGAATGTTTCAATAATTTGATTTATGGGGTTTTTTCTGGGGACTGGGGAGAGGAGCAGGGTCATCTGGGGATTAACTGCGCTGTAGACACAGCAGTGTGGACTCTTGGTATTTTGGTATTTGTATTTCACAAATCCCACGCTCTCCCCTCTGCCTCATGTCTTCAACCATTCCCAGCTGGTTGTTAAGGAACTGAAATGGTCCCTTCTGCTGGTGAAGCACCGTGGAAATGCCTCCAGCACATTTCCTCACTGCTGGCTGCTGGGGCTATTTTAGCATGGGCCCCTCTGACTAAAATACTCCCACTCTCCGTTTATTCTTAAGACTTGTAGGAAGAAAAAAGAGCTTGGTTTCCAGCAGCCTCTCTCCAAGGGAACACTGGGGAAAACCTGGGGCAGACCATTCTAGCACTGTTTGTTGTACTATATAGTGCAGGGACAATTTAGGTGCTCACATAACCAAATTAATTTGTAAAAAACCCTTCGAGAACAAAATCCTGTATGTGGATTAAATAAGCTGGAAAAGGCTAACTCAGGCTCCTCCTGCTCTAGATCAAAGGAATTCTGGGGCTGTAAAAGTACTCGTTAGAAATGCTGAATTTTGCCAGCTTTTTTCCAAGTAGTGGGGGAAGAAAAAGCAGGAGTGCTGTGGTGGTAAAGATCAATAAAATCTTATCAGAGGCAGACAGGAATTTCACATGCACATTGGGTACCTTGGCTCTCAGCAGAGATTTAGCAATGGCTTATGAAACACTGATTAGAACCAGCTCTTGGCAAACAGACCTTACCTGAAGTGGTCAATATTTGAAGGCAGCTCAGAAGTGTAAAAACAAGGGCTCTACACCTGACCTGCTGCTTCTACCTGGTGATTCTTTGCAAAGGGGCAGTAAGAACAATCCCTGGCCTTAAATCCAGTGCACGTTAGCCACAGTGATGTCCTAATTAATTTAGGTGTAATCATGACTGAGAGCTTTAACTTACAACCCTGGAAGAAACAGAAACCCTCCCTCTTTGCCCCAGTTTTCTGGCCTTTGGTCACTCCTTCCTAGAATGAAGCTGACTTTTCCATTAACAGCCTCCACCACTGTTCCTGTTTTTCAGACAAAGAAGTATGCAGATGTGATCATCCCCCGAGGAGTTGACAACATGGGTAAAAGGGAGTTGGGTTCTCTGATTTCCTTGGGGAGACACCCTTGGGGTTGGGAAGAGAATGAGTGGCACGTGCTTCTAAGGAAAGGTGTTTTGCTGGAGGGCTGGAGGGGAGGGAGCTGCTCAGCCTGTGGAGGTCTGACCTCGCTGCAGACAGCAGGCAGAGTTTCATTTAAGGGCTTGTTAAAACTTGAGCAGAGCAGGGCTGGATGCTCCACATTTTCTAGATAACTCAGCCAGGAAAGCCTTCACGTCCCACATTTCCCATTCCTCTCTGCAGTTGCTATAAACCTCATAGTTCAGCACATTCAAGACATCCTGAACGGAGACATCTGCAAGTGGCAGCGAGGGGCGATGAACGGGCACGGCCGGACCTACAAGCGCCCGTTCCCGGAGCCCACGGAGAGCAGCAGTGTCCTGGCGGCAGGAAAACGCTCCCACCTGGAGTCCAGCAGCCGTCCACACTAACCTGGGTTTGCCTCTGGTCCAGACCAACGCTGAAGACAACTTTGGGAAAGGACTTCGACAGAATGGTTGGTGAAGTGCCCTTTAAATCGTCCTGGCAGTGGAGGGGATCCTGATGTGAACCTTCTCACAGAGGGGAGAGGATGGAGTTGGCCATCAGCCCCTCTCCCCTCCAAACCCCTCCCTTTTCTCCCTAAGATGTCTGGAATTATGTTACTTGATGAACTGGTTAAAGGCAGTGCTACTTGCCTTTTTTTAATTTTCAAAATGAGATCTACTGCTGAAGACTTCCCTGAAAATTAAGCACTATCAGGTGATTAGTAAGATACCCCATTTCCCTGATGATGGGCTTCCTTAGCAGGAAAATTATCTGCCTCTTGGGGTTTTTTTTCCTCTATCCCTGTTAATTTTAAGAAGCAGATGCAGCCCTTACTCTTCTCCACCTCGTTGGCACCTTAAGTTCTGGCCTTGCTGTGCTGCTGGCCAGCCTGTGGGGGCAGGGGGTTTGACTTGTAGGGGCATCTCTGCCCTGAGATAAGGGTGAGACAGAGGCTGTCTGGGAGAAATGGGAACTTGCAGTTCACCAGGGACAGGCCCAAGAAGTTTATTGTCTCTTGATTCCTAATTTATTCCTTTCTAAGCTCCCAAGTCTAGCTACACTGTATGATTATTTTTTTGTACCCAAACAGTCGCCTTTACCACACTTACTGAATGTGTGAGCTCCAGCTGGATTGAGTTGCTCATGGAAACAGAAACCTGACCTTGTCAGTATTAGTGTCTTTTAGTGCATTTCTGTACTGCTGGTTGCAAATTCTGCTGGGCAGAATCCGTCCACGTCCAGAGATGGCTGGTGAGACCAGCAAGGGGGGAAGCTGGGAATGGCAGGACCCTCCTCCTGCTGGCACAGGCAGCTGCCTGGACATGTTGTGCCCTCAGACAGGATCAGAGAGCTTGCCTTGCACTCCAGCAGCTTAAACTCAAGAATGTCTGGTTTTCTAAAACAAGCAGACAAGAAGTATAAACAGTGACATCCCAGTTTCTGTAGTTTACCCCAGATAAGTGATTACAGTAAAGTGTCTGGAAAAAGAAAAAAATCTGAAATGAAGTGCTGGTTGGACCTTTGAAATTGTCCTTGTGATACCATTCTTGAGTCTGGACTTATGGTGTAATTTTAAGAATAAGGGTGGGAGGGAAATGTTATTAAGAGGAACTTTTTCATACTTGCTAGTTTTCTAAAAGCAGCATCTGGCTGTGTTGGTTGTGGGTGTCTTACTTTGGCTAATAAACAAATGAACGAACAGTGATCAAAAATGACCATTTTATATAAAAGGTAATTGTGCTACTTGGACTACATCAGCAAAAAGGTACAGAAAGGACACTGCTGGAGGAGCTCTTGCACTCAACAGAATTGTTACCTTTAGTTCTGTCATGGCTGAAGATTTAGAAAAAAAAAAAGAAGAAACTTAAGAACTGCAGTCTGCACTTTCATCGCTGTAGTCTTTTCAACACTGGAAATGGGTGAAGGTTTGGTATCTCAGTGATCTCCTCAGCTGAGTGGTACTTCTGCAGTGCCCAGGAGAAGGCAGGTCATTTCCTGACTGCTGCTGGGTGCTGTTTAGCTCAGGGTGACAGACTTAGACTATGAGCTACTGCACTGAAGCATTAGCTCTCAGGGCTGATTACAGTAGGAGCAAAATAGTCACTAAACCCTACTTTGAATGACTGTGGTGTTGGATCATACCTTCCTCTGGAGGCCAGGGGGGAGCTCAAAGCATTTGTTAGAGCCTTGAATAGCGTTTGTTAGAGCTGTGAGGAACTCCACAAAGAGCCCCTGCTCTGTGGGGCTGCTGTTCTGGGCAGCTTTGTGCTGTATTAAAGGACCTGCTGCTGCAGCCCCATGGAGATAAGAAATGGGATGTGGCCAAGGTACTGTAACCCTGGTTAAATAACTAGAGCCATTACAAATTCCCCACTGGGCAATCCTAGTCCTTCACCTCTGCCTTCCCCCTTCTCTGTGAATTCCTCTGCTAGAACAGGCCAGGCCATGGTTTGGGTTGCAGTGTTTTTACCCTGAACCCACGTGCACAAGTTAGAGCAGGTTTCCTTCTCAGCAGGATTAGTCCTACCTTGCCCAGAGTTCCTCTTCCCGTGGGATTTGAGGTGTAACCCTGCAGCCCAGTAAATACAATACAGCCATGGCTGGTAACAGGCCTCAGGCTTCACATCAATGCCACAAGGCCAGAGGATTCTTCTGGCTCTGGCTGACTTCCTGGCTTGCCCAAAGCCTTGTTTTAGCTTGTTTAGCTGTAACAGTAATTTTCTAATGTCTTTTTATTTTTGCTTCTTAAAAATGATGGTTATGCCAAATGATTACACATAGATAATAGTAACAAGTCATTATTCTATGCAGAATGAACTATTTATAAATGTGGCTTAATGCTGTATTTACATAAATAGGGATGATAGCAGAGCAGTGAAAGTGGGGGCAAATAATGCATTGTTGAGGAATAGAGTCATGGGATGGTGCTGAAGGCTGCAGGGCCAGTTACTGATTGTTAAAGAATGGATAAGCTTCAGAGCGTGGAAAACCTTTTTTTTTTTAGGAGTATCAAGAGAAAAATATCTGATGTATTGGAGAGTGCCCATTTTTTGTAACTCTTATCATGGAATTGTAGACCAAGGTGCTGGGAAACACATGAAATAGCCCTCAGTGAAATGCAGTGCAAGAAGGAAGAAACCACCACTGTCAGAAAGAGGAAGAAGAAATTGTTGCAGCATGTTCTTCCCAGCAAAGGAGCCTGGGATGCTGTTGCCTGAAGTCAGCAACCTTCAGGCCCCGAGGGGCAGTGGAAGGGTGAATGTAACAGGGGCAGAAACTGGGAACTGTGCTCATAAATGTATTCCTGTTGAGAGCTTTTCTGTAACAGTGCTCTTTTCCTGTAATCGTTAGATCTGGACTACTGTCAATTACTTGATCGGACTGTTAAGATTTCAGTTATACTAACAATAAATCCTTGGCTTTGCACAAAAGGTGTTTCCTTTTGGCTGTAACACGATTGTAGCAGTCACTGTTTCCGGATGAGGATGTTCCAGCTGTCCTTCCAGCGCAAGTCCTTGAGTTCCGTCACGGACAGCGCGGGCTGCCCGTAGGTCACGGGGCTGAAGGTGCAGTAGACAAAGTACACTGAGGAGAACCAGGCTACAATCAGTGCACTGAACATGCTCTTGAGCAGCACAGACCTGGGATGAGAGCGGGAAAGAGCAGTCAAGTTACATCAAAGCTGGATGAACACTTCATCCAAAAGGAAGACCTACACCTGGCCTGTTTCTCTAAAGACAAATGACAGAGCATGGCCTCTGCTGGAAAAACCACTGCTCTCCCTGCAGCAGCTTGTCCAGGTGACAGCCCTGGAGAAAAGAACTGTGTCACTTCCCTTGTTAAAGAGAACTGTCTCTGTTAAAGCAAATACCTGCAGAGATGATCGCCGAGGTGCTGCAACACGACGGGAATCAGGAGAATCTGGAATGTGAGGGCAGGCAGGTAGTGGTACAGGAAAAGCGTTTTTTCCATCAGGAAGAAGGGCAGGTAGTTCACAACCCAGCCTCCACCACAGACACCCCCAGCTGACACCCAGAGCTGCCAGGAATCTGCAGGAGATGGGAGATGGCATCTCAGAGCAGAGCAAGCCACAACCCTCCACCTGGACACACACACACAGTGGAATCAGACCTTCAGGGATGTCATAAATCCTCCTCCTCCGTCGTATCAAGTACCACAGGGACAGACACGTGTAGACCAGAGCAGCAGCATTAGCTGAAGCCCAGGTGACAACATTCCCAAGGAGGTGGATCTGGGCCTGCAGGATAGTTGATGGTCAGCCAGAAGCAGTGGTTCTTTTAAGTAAGTTTAAATATTATGTACACATACCTGCTAAATTAAACCTCAGAATGTGCCTGGCTAGTAACCTGGAACAAAGCTGGCTGATAAACTTTGCTGCTTTAAGACTCTTTTGTAATGGAAGGCATTTGAAAAATGCTATTGGAGATGAACTCATCTTCTAAATAGAATCAATAATGGAAACTATTAAACTGCAGTTTACCTTTAAAAAAAAAGTTCAAGAAGACATGATTTAATTAAAAGTCACTACTGTCAAAGCTGTATCTCATGCTAAAATAAAAACCTCAACCCTCAGGGAAAATACATTAGCAGAGGAAGAGTCCTTGGCTGGAACTGCAGCCCTGCTCGGACTCCCACTCCTGGAGCTCACATGTGAACTGAAGTCTCCTTTCTCACCCCATTCACAGTTACTTCTGCCTCTTGTACTTACCCCAGAGGTGGGGTGGAACCAGTAGGCAATATTTGTGTCCATTGTGATCCAGTCCAGAGCAGAGGAGCTGTACTTATGTTCTGTGTCTTCATTTTTTAATGTGAGTATTTTCCACTAGAAAAAAAAAGGAAACAAAGCTTTCAGAATGGGAGCAACAGGTGGTTGAACAGTTCCAGATATAAGTTCCTAAGTTCCTAACCTGGGAGTGGAGAAAGATTTTGCCTATCTCACATGGATACTAATCAATACAAAGGCTTTATTTTGTTCTTATATAATGCACTTTCCATGTAACACACATTACAGTTCAGTTTCATGCAGCTTCTGAGGGCACAACAGATTTTCCTCCCCCTTTTTTGTTACACAATCACTTGGGTATTCATTGCTGAACAGCACAGGTCTCTAATGCCCTTATAAGTGCATTCTGAAATATTTTTTTTTCAGTGAGGAAGCCAGATTATCAGCAAGGAATAAACAATGGCTCCTTAGGCTCAGAGTCTGCAGATATGCTCAGGTTTCTGCTCTGCACCAGGAGGAAAGAAGACACTCACCTGCAATTCTGTGAACTTTGCCATGAAGCTGAGGTTTTTACTGATGTCCATCTGTGTGGGAGAGTGGAGTTCCACTTCCCTCTCTTTTTGCTCTTGGCCTGGAAGAAAACAGCACAGCTCAGAAATAACGACATAACGGGCAGAAAGCTAGAGAGGGAAGCACACAGGATATACTCCTGGCTCCTCACTCCCCCAGGAGCCCTTCTCCAATACATCATCCAACTGCAACAGTGCTCTAAGGGAATTTTTAAGGATTCTGACATCATGACAGGGCCAACTGAACACACATACACACAGAACCACCTTCCCATCAACATGAAGTGTTCCCCAGTCACAGAAATCTGCTGAGAACGTACTTTTCCCGTATCTGTGCTCTTCCACATTCCACAGCATGCTCTGGTGGTAGCCTTTGGACAGCTTCTCTCCAACCACCTCCAGCTGCCGGTACCCCCACTCGGGCAGAGATGCTCCACTGAGCTGTAAGTGAAAGATGGCTGTGAACTTACAGTGCTGCCAACCTGAACTTCAGGATGGAAGTTCCCAGGCCCTGCCTGGGAGGCCAGCAAGGGATTGCTAGAAAGTGTATGTGAAGAGTCACCATGCAGTGCTCTCTCAACAAATGCTACAGCCATAAAGTCAGTGATTCTGGCAAACTCTGAAGAAAAAGATCCTTAACTACTCCAGCTGCTGTCACGTGCTACTCACAGACTCAGCATCAAATTCTAAGCCTCAGCAGTGTACAGTGGTCAACCTCCTGAGAAGCAGGACAGCTCTGATGCTGAAAAGGGATGAAAACACATGCTGGTTTTTTGTCACCCTGAGCAAGTTTATTGTTTCCTTTTATTTACTTATTTGGTTATTTTTGTAGTTGTTTATTTATTTGGGAGCAGAGAGAGGAGTAGTTTGTGAGAATACAAGCACTGCATGAAACAAAAGGTGTAGCACATAAACATAAGCCCACTTACCTTTAGCACTGCAGAGGTGTTGACATGAACAAACCTCACTTCTGACAGAATTGTCTTCCACACATCTGTGTCAGACTCCCGATTTACAATCTCCTACAACAGAAAGATGGCTTTGGATTGTCATGTTGTCCCAGCTGTTTCTGCTGGAACATGATCAGCTCCTCCCCTCCCTTTGACCACTCACCACTCTCCAGAGGTTCTGTGCTGGCATGGAGATGTTATAATCAATATAGCAGGAAACTTCCTGGGAGTGGGGGCTCAGAGGGGCAGCAACATCATGCCTAGAAGACAAATTAAATAAGATACTCCACCACCATTTCCCAAATTCATATAAAAAGCAAAACCATATGGGATTGGTTTAGACTGGATTCAGTAATAAAGTGAAAATAACTCTCTTATACAGATTGCACTGTTTACTGTGAGAGAGAGCACTCCCCAAAAGCCAGAGCTGCCAGGAACAGGCTCAGAGGAAGCCAGTGCAGATGCCTGTGATGCCAGGCTGAAGAACAAGCACTGATTGTGACAAACAGAGACGCTGTTCACTGGGCTTTCCAATAATGAACAAATTAGGTTTGGAAGGGACATGGCAAAACCCAAGTTCAGAGCAGCCCCCT